AGAGAGAGAGAAAGAGAAGACGTCTAAGAGGAGGGTAAGCTGTAGTGAGTTTGAGTACTGAATGAATTCCAGTGTGATTACAAAGTGGTGAGCTGCAGGAAGAACATTTACAGGTATCACAGATTTCTCTATGCTTACAAACAGCAGGAACTTAAATGTTAACTCAGGAGTGCTACGTATATCCTAGTGATAAGACACAAAATACATCTGATGTATAAAAACTTACGTGCGCCACTTCAAAATGAAAATGCACACTACTGTCCACACTGGAAGCTGAACCTGTCCTCCGTGGGCCATGTACATGGTCTAACTAAACTCAGAACATGTTACTGCTTAGGATGCATGAAGTGCCCACTGTAATATCTGGGAGAATGACCTGTAATCCTGTAAAAATAAGAAGCCAACAACAGGTAAGCAATATTGACATCAGATAATCTTATTCTAGAACAATCCTCTAATAAATCAAATGTACTACCCAGCCTTACTTCCTCTAAATCCCAGTCATGGGGGGCCTCCACAAGAAATCTGGAGTGGTCCAAAGAGTCAGCCTTGTGCTTCCAGTCTCTGTCAGGCTGGTTGACGTGAAACAACCCTGCAAGCTCTTCTTGGGTATCATGATCTTCTTCTTCGTTATCTTCTGCCACTAAAGAGGACGCCATGGCAGAAAAGTGAGAACAAAAACTACAGCCCTGGAGGACTCATTGTTTTCGACAAGTTAGGCCATGAGTCTTCGAACTCAGGAACTGAGGGCCCCTGTCTGTGGTGGGTATAGCAATGGCCACATATGTTTTAGGCACTAAGAGGGCAGGGCAGTCACAGGTTAAGAGAGCCAGGAAGCTATTGCTCTACATGTGTGGGGCTCCTGCGCTCCTGCACGGCAGCAGCTAAGAGGCCGAGGAACGAGACTATTAGGGCTCAAGGGAGGGAAGGGACATTTAAAAGCAAAGCTTTAGATGATTAAAGAAGAGCTCTAAAGAGTGTTGAGCCTCTCATCACTAAGCGTACTTAGACAAAACCTGAATGAAAATCAGTTCACAGCAACCCTCCCAATTCAGTGTGCTGAGCCCAAATGTCTCACCATGTGGCCTTGATCTCATCGTGCAGTAACCAGGGAGCACAATGTAAAGTTCACCACTATCTATTTACTTTTGCATTAATTCTACCAGAAAGAACATATAGGTAAGTTTAATAAAGCATGAAATCAGAAGAGAAGGGCAAAAGGGAGAAAAAACTGTGTTATACAGGGTTCTCATTCTCAGAAAGGAAAAAACAAATATTTTTATGGTCAGAAGTATTTTTCTAGCACCAAATTCTCAAAAAGTTTCTCATGAAGGACTTTTAAATAGGGGACATAACATGATGCAATGGACAGTATTTGCATCAAGTTTTACAACAAACCCATAAGTCTACTTCATAAGACCAAAGTGTGGTCCTCATAAGTTGATGATTAATCTGCCAAATATGAAATGTGATGGCCAGCAATTATGGATGTCAACAATACCAGCCCAATCAACCAATTCCCTCATCTCCTTTTCAGAAAACAAACAGAGAAACTAAAACGTTTCCAGCTCTGAACCAGAATTCTTTACCGGTCCCGTAAATAAGCTTTCAGAGGTTTGGAGCTGCTTGCTGCTGCCTCAGAAAGCCCTTCTGGAAAGGTCTTCCTTCCACTTGAGGGCACCTGAAATGACCAAAGCCAACCTCCAGTTAGGCTTGTTCACGTGTCTCCCCTCCCTTGAGATCCATCCACAATGCAGCATTTCAACAGTTAATCTCAAAATCAACAGACCCCCAAATGTAGACATTTCACTGGGTACCACTTCGAGAGCCAAGTTCGTAGCAGCAACCAACTAAATTTAAGCTTATCTGAGGTTTCTTTGGAATCATTATTTTCTTCCTTGTAATCTTCTTCCTCTTTGAGTAAATCTTCTATATCACTGGTCTCATCAATTAAGTTCCTTGACCCCAGTTTCTGACCACTGCTCACTTGAGAAGGCTTTGAAAACTTTTTTCTAATAGCCTCGTCATTTTCTGAGTCCTCTTCCTCTGCACTGAGTGAGGAGCTTTCTTTAGATTTATCTTCCAATGCAAATGCCTCTTCAGCTGTGTAATGCCCAGAATCGGAAGTCATGAGGGCTGCTTTCTTCATCGGCAAACACTTCAGATTCACACGGTCACTCTGGCGATTAGCTGGCGACAGCCCTGCTTTACTACCTTCTCCAACAGCCTTTGATCCTGAAATGCCCCCCTCTCCTGCAGTGCAGTCCTCTTCTTCACTGCTTTCATCAGCTTCCTCCACTTCCCCTTCTTCCGCTGAGCTCCTCTCAAGGTCATCATCACTGTCAGCAAATGCTGGCAAATCCATTTCACTGTCTTCTTCCAACTCTTCAAGTTTCCATCGTTTGATGCTCTTACCAGTCATATACTGATCAGTCATCTCAGCATTTTGCTCCTCTTCTGCTTCCTCATCACTAGAGCCATTTTCCAACCCATCATCTTCAGATATTTCATCATCTTCTTCATCATCACTATCTCCAGATTCATCTTCGTCTCCAAAAATGGCTTTCTGACGCATTCGCCCAGTTTTTAAGTCCGTTTGTTTTTCCTCCTTTGACATCAACAGCCTATGTTGCCAAGGAAATGCAAAATAATTTAACTTGTACATTAATCAGTTAATCTAGAAATGGCAATATAGTCAACGAAAATATAAAGAAATAGAAAATGTCAAGGAATTGTTTAAGACGACATAGCATAGGGAAAAAAAGATCTGATAAAAATTGGAACATTTAATAAACAAACTCAGGCATGGCTCCCTAACACCATACTTCAAAAGAACTTATAGGGAGAATAAAGAAATAAGCCTTTTTTAAAAAAAAAAAATCTAATTTTAGAAAAAAATTGCTTAAAAAGGAAGTTAGTGTTTTGTAGATCTTTTGGAAAGCTGATTTATTTCTAAGCTAAAAACACATGATCCTTAAGAGAAATGGCCGAGTCCAGGCCCAAGGCAGGAAAAGGGCAAAATGAGCCTGGATCCTCTTGTTTTGTCAGAAAGTAAGAAATGCTCAAAGACTAACAGAGACAGTTGAAAGGACACAGGAGACAGGCTGAAGGCTCCCGTGGCCAAATTTGGGACAGCATAGGCATCAGGAAGAATAATGATAGTGATGGAAGATAACCCATGGAACAAAATGCAAGTATATTAGTCAGCAGTGATACCAAAATAAAGGGGAGAAGTGAAAGCTCTTTGTTAAAAATGCCAGCTAACAAATGTAGGAGGAATGACAGAGGAAGAACATCCATTTTAAGTCACCAGTGCCATAACTGACAGACAAGAATCATCAGGAGGCTAAAATCACAGGATGAAAGAAAACTGTATAAAGCTAATTAACATAGCAAGATATGTAAAATTATGAAAACACAAATTAGAAAAAAACTAAAAATCATACCATAAGAGATGGATAAGTTAGAATACAGCAATAATAGGCCAGGTATAGTGGCAGGATACAGATATAATAGGCCAGGCATAGTGGCTCACATCTGTAATCCCAGGACTTTGGGAGGCCAAGGCGGGAGGATTGCTTGAGCCCAGGAGTTCAAGACCAGCCTGGGCAACATAGTGAGACCTCGTCTCTAGAAAAAAACTAAAAAATTAGCCAGGTGTGGTGGCACACTCCTATAGTCCCAGCTACTTGTGGAGCTGGAGTGGGAGGATCACTTGAGCCTGGGAGTTCAAGGCTGCAGTGAGTCATGATCACGCCACTGCACTCCAGCCTGGGAGACAAAGTGAGACTTTGTCTCAAAAAAAAAAAAAGAATATCCCAATAATAACAAAATGATGACTACGTGAAGACTGTATAGAAAAAGGAAGTGCTCAGAATATAGAAATAAAATTATGTATTTTAACTATAACTGTATTAGAAGAGAGTATTCTTGTAGACAAGGATGACTAAAAGGATATGGAAAAATGAAAGTAGATAACAACACTCATAAAAGAGTGATCTTTCGGCGAACACTTCGTATCTGTCAGGCATCGTGCTAGGTAGTTTATGCACACTGTAACAAATTACATACTAGGTAATCTCAAAAATTTCAGATAAATTTTACTGGGAATCATCAATCAATCCAACAAAACCAATGTTTTGCAAACATCCACTATGTATAAAGGTATATAAATTCCCAACCCAGACTGAGAAATAATTCACATAAGCCACACATCCATGGAAACCTACCCATGGGAGATAATACAACATAATCTAAATAAAACTTTCAGAGACAAGGCATGTGGCTTCTGGACAGCCACAAACTCCCTGACTGTTCTAGTGTTTTGGCCACCAAAAGAAAGCGGAGTGCCCTTAGGTCTCTTAAAAAAAAAACCAAAAAGTAACCTATAGAAGATGGTGTGGTATTTGAAGAATATTTGGGGTCTGTTGAAAAATGCATCCTGTATTTTATTTCAAGAAAATACTCCCTCGTAATGTCAGGTAAGTGAAAAGCCCTCAGAGACACATACACACACACCCACAAAACCAAAACAACCTAGAATGAATTCCACCAAAATGTGTTATGATAGCAGAATTACACATCTTCTAAAATGTATCTTTTTATTAAAAATAGAAAAAAAGCAGACTTCTCCTTGATTATCTATATCCTCTGACCCAAGTGGCTTGGAACCAGCAAACAGCGTCACCCGACTTGAAGCCATCTTGGCATCAGTGGTGGAGATGGTGGAGATGAGACTCTGGACCAGCTCATGGATGGGCCCCACCTCGTCCTGTCAAGGCCACCAAGAAAAGGCACGTGAGGAAAGCACAAAGATCCTGGAGAGACACTGGTTTCACTCAGTTTCTCAAAATTATCTTAGACACATTTCCTGAGAACCTTTCTTAATGCCTCAAAAAGCAGAGAAGAAAATCCTTAGAGCAAAGCTTGAAATGGATCCCCATCTCCATTAAACTTTTCCAAACTTCAGGGAGTATGTAACCTGATAACCTAAACACCTAGCTAGAAAAATCTCAGTTCCAGTGCTACAACAATGCTAGCTTTTCTAACATCTTTAAATAACCCTGATTTTAACTCAATAAAATTCAACTACAGAACTAAGAAATCAACATTTAAAATCCACTTTAAAATACAGAATGAGGAGACCATTGTGAATGAGAAAAGGACCAATGAGAACTGGAAAGCACACTGATTTTGTAGAAACGGGGATGGGCTGTGCAGGCGCCACATGGCAGCAGGGTCCGCGCTGGGGCCATGGATCAAGGAGGCCTGGAGGACAGGACTCTTCTGTTTGGTAAAATGAAAAAAAAAAAGGTATTATTTTTATCCTATATATTTACAATATGCATTTGGGCCTTTATTATAAGTACAAGAGAAAAATCTTCAATAAGTAAAAGCTGAGTACCTTACTTTTTGTGATTAAAAAACAGATTCAGAAAGAGTAATGAGAGTTCAGAACAATGACTCCCGTCTCACTGAAGCCTGAAAACCGTGGCTGCCACCAAGGCAACATAGACAGCATCTTTGTCATACAGCATACGCCCAACCCCAGAAAGAGGCACATAAACCAGCTTCTCCTTCTCATTTAAACAGCGCTTCTTTTGTTGTTCAGGAAGAGCACAAGGGTCTGAGAGGAAACCGATGTCACTCATGGCAAAATCTCCTACCCTTGGAAGACAGGATCCAAAAAGCCAGCTTCAGCTGACAAGAAGTCAGAAGTATCCACTGTTGACTGGGGGGTTAAAAACGAGCCATAGTCCAAGGGCTTAACCCATGACACTAAAGAAGGGCATTGTGCCACCCTGGACCAGTGGCCCTCTAGCTACAAGACAAGAGGTCAGAGAAGAGGGGATTTGGTAACACCTTTGCAGCCCTACACACAGCTGGGTTACTTTTAAAACCTCCAGCAAGGCCATCTTCCCTTGTTTGGTCACTTTTCAGTTTTTCTGAGAAATAACGCCATCCCAAGAATCCTATGTGTAATTCTAGTATGTTCTACAACAAGAGAATACCTGGCATGTGAATTTGGCTTTTATTTTTCAAGTGTGCTCCTCTTAAATAACCATAAAGTGACACCTGCCGGTCACATTTGATGTTTGTTCGGATATCCTCTGGGTTTGTCAAATCTTCCATCCTAGAAAAATAAACTCAATCATACAGTAGAAATGAATGCCAAAGTTCCTATACCTCCTTTCATGTGTCAATGACTCATCACACTCTTGTCCACTAAGCACGTCATTTAGAAAACTAGAAAATGAAGAAATAAGGAAGCACCGTTCACCATTCAGCAGAGGAAAAGGGGCAGGAACACAACTGTGTCTCTAGGCTGAAAGTGACATTTTCATTCCGGAAGACACCAGACAGGGAGGCGATGTCCACCTGGGGTCAGGGAAGAGTGAAGAACATATTCAGAAAATCCCTTTCTGGAAGAGGGTGAGCCTGTGCTCTGGGATTTTTGCTGTGGTTTGGATTCTGGCAGGTGGAGAAAGGATATCCCAGGCTGAGAAAACCACAGCACAAAGAAGAGCACAAAGGAAGGAAACTGAAAGCACACACGAGGACTCAAGCACCCGGGCACGAAGGCAGCATCACTGAAAACTGAGGATGAACGTAGGATGGGGCCACATCCTGTAGCCTTAAATGCTTCCAAGTCCTCCCATTCTCCTAAACATCTTATAATTAATTTACTCCCAAAGGCACAGCATCTTTGAGCAATGACATAAGTAGACATTTTCCATCAACTACACTTCTACCCCCACTATTCAAATAGGCACAAAATGAATCCTACCACTCTTCTTTTTCCAGTCTGTTTAGCTTTGAAGTATATGGCCCAGGAAGAAAAAGTTTACAATCGCTTTTTACCTGTCTGCCAGGATATAAGGGTGAGAAGTTTGCCATGTGAGAGGCCTAAACTTCACAACTGTAATAAAATGGCCCAGATTGTGGATTTCTTGGTTTTGATATTCTCCATGCACCATTCCAGAAAGGTAGAACAGCTTGGCACCCTAAACATTAAAGGAAAATTAAAAATTAAATTCCAATTAAATTCTCATCAATACTGCAACAAAATAAAAGCTCTTCTTGTTTACAAGAAGCAATCCTAAGAAGGGAGATTTGCAGCAAAGCCACTGTCCTGAGGCTTCCAGAGCCTTGCTGGCTTCTTTCAGGTCTTATTAGAACCCCACAGAGGCAGACTGCTCTGCAGCTGAGCAGGTTCATCTGTCTAAGTATGGTGAGAAGAGCGAGGTGAGGCATCTGAGCACAGAAATGTTTCTGTGGCTGATGGACCAAAGCAGCATGGAAAGGAAGGGGCAGTGCCCGGTCCTGTAACTGGCAGAAACTTCTGATGTACTCTATTAAGTCCCGACCCCAAAACAGCCAGACACTGCCTGGTGCAGCAGTGAGATACACCAAGAGACCCAGAATAAGCACCCTCTTGAGGGAAACCTTCCAGAGACTGTGAACACATACACAAAGGGAATTCAGGAGCCGAATCCGAATCCTAGAGAGACTTAGCAATGCCTCTTTAGGCCTTTTTTTTTTTTTTTTTTTTTTGTGAGATGGAGTCTCACGCTGTCACCCATGCTGGAGTGTAGTGGCACGATCTCAGCTCACTGCACGTTCTCCCTCCCAGGTTCAAGCAATTCCATGCCTCAGCCTCCTGAGTAGCTGGGATTACAGGTGCATGCCACCACACCTGACTAATTTTTGCATTTTCAGTAGAGACAGGGTTTGGTCATTTTGCCCTGAGCTCAAAACTCCTGGCCTCAAGTGATCCACCTGCCTCTGCTTACCACAGTGCTGGGATTACAGGCATGCACCACTGCATTGGGCCTCTTCAGTCTGTTTTAGTAGGATTATACTTTAGTATCCAACAATTATTTCTCTTCCTACAGGGTAAACTTCTATCCAGAACCTGTGTTTTAATTGCTTCTTCGTCTTGTTCAGTTGTTTATTATGCTTGAAGGAGTCAAGGTGGGTGAGGACTCCCATAATTTTAGGAAAGCCATGTACTTGACAGATGTTTAGAAACTCAAACGTTTCCATTTCAAACCCAAAGCTGCCATCTGTAAGCATCAGTACCTACAAACAGAACACATCATTTCTCAAAGAAACTACCAAAACAGACCACCTACACTAGGGGTTGGCAACTGGCCACGGGCCAAATCCAGTCCATCACCTGTGTTTGTAACTAAAGTTTTATTGGAACACAGCCACATTAATTCATTTACATATTGTCTGTGGCTGCCTGTGCACTAGAACTGCAGAGCTAAGTAGCTGCAAGAGATGTGATCCACAAAGCCGAAGATATTTACTATCTGGTCCTTGACAGAAAAGTCGCACTCCAGACTAAGTCAAATGACTACACAGGCATCACCCAGACAGAGAAACCACCACCCTCTTACTTGCTCTAAAAGCTAACCATAAGACAATGTCCACTAGGATATAAACTTCCATTTTAAGAATTTTGATGCATGAGAAGTAACTCAGAAAAGGCTGGGTCTAACCTGGTCCTTACCTAAGAAATCCTAATTTAAAGAAATGAAGTTTTCTGTAATGTACTTTTAAGCCAAATAACAGGTCTCTGACACCCAAAGAATGGGAAGCAAGTGATAATCAATGAAATATATTAAATATGTACAGAAAACCAACTTCTTGTTTCAATATCCTCATAAAAAAAAAACCAGTCTTTTTTTTTTTGAGAAGCATACAGTGGAAACCTCTATCTTGCATGTTAACTTGTATAACTCAATTGCTCAGAAGTATTTTTTAAATAGGTACCAGTTTAAAATTAAGTCAAAAAACCGTCAGATTATAATGAATGGTAGTCTATAGGAAAATATAAACAGATAAGACCAATTTTTAAAATTTAAGACTCTTCAAAGATGCAAAATAATTTCAGAATTGATTCCTGGAAACTTGTAATTTTAATATTAAATACACTTTTGTTCTTATCTTTCCATAGATAAACTAAAAATAACAAAATATGGAAGCAGAAATGCCCATCTTTGATTAAACTAAGTAGTTAATAGAATATCAGAAATAGTGGACATTATCATTTCCATAAATGCAAGAGCGTGTACATTTTCTGTACACTGAGTACTGTCTAGATTTTCTATTGATAAATTCTGACCACTTCTTCAGGCAATTCATGTACTCTAGCATTATCATTAAGGATGAAGGTTCTGGAACCATCGAGAAGAAAGGTCCCATCTTCACACAAGTTACTTAGCTGCTGGGAGCCTCTATTTCATCTTTTGTAAGCTACAGATAATGCCTACTCACCTGAAGGGTGTATCAAGGGTCTATGTAAGCCAAGTTTGTAGAAAGCAGTCAGCACGGTGACAGGAAGGGTCCAAGAAGAAATGACAATTACTATGATATATTTTTACATATCTATGTACACATATTAATGAGCTCTTATTAGCTGTGTTCATTAAAGGTTTTTTTTCATCCTGTGATGTGCTCTAAGATTTTGGAATACACGTCATTGTACACATTCCATGTTTATTATTAATATAATAACATTTATTACTATTACTATCATCAATTCAATCACATCTACTGTATCCCTGATGATGATCATGTTTCCTTTAATAATCATAAAACTCTCTTCCCTTCATCACAGGGTAAATAACCTATCACAGTGCTGTAAGTCTCCATCAGCACCCCAGGATGCCCCTGCTGACTTACCAGATCTGCTGCTTTAGCCAGATAAACTATCACGTTAATGTCACACCCACATTCAATAATGGTGAGTCTGCACTTTTTACCTGTAAGTGAAAAGATGAAAACTTTACTTTAAAAAGACCCTGAAAAAACTGTAACCATCAATGTTAATTTTCATTTTTGTAATTGCATCCAGTAAAACACCATATATGTTTATAGGAGTGTACCAGAAGTTCATTTTTATAAGCAAAAACTGGTAAAATAAAATAAATTCCATCCTGTTTTCCTTGCTGTGTTCTAAATTTAAATAATATCAAAAGTCTACCCAGATGAATAAAAGCACTCAAACAGGGAAAATTCTGACTTGACAGGCTCCATAATAACCATGATCTTGCTGTTCAGCTGCAGGCCAATGTCTTCACCTCTATCAAAACTTCCCGTATTCCCACTATAGCTACAAATATCCTCAAACATAATGTAACAGAATATTCATAATGATAATCATTTCTAAATTAAGGTTATAAGAAAATGGTCAAGAACATATGGGCTGGGCACAGTGGGAGGCCAAGGCAGGCAGATCCCTTGAGCCCAGGAGTTTTGAAACCAGCCTGGGCCACATGGGGAAACCCCATCTCCCCCAAAAAAACAAAAACAAAAAGGAGGACGGGCGCAGTGCAGCAGGTCATGCCTGTAATGCCAGCAGTTTGGGAGGCCAAGGCAGGTGGATCACTTGAAGTCAGGAGTTCGGGACCAGCCTAGCCAACATGGTGAAACCTCATCTCTACTAAAAGTACAAACATTAGCCAGGTGTGGTGGTGCATGCCTGTAATGCCAGCTACTCAGGAGGCTGAGGCAGGAGAATTGCTTGAAGCCAGGAGACAGAGGTTGCAGTGAGCTGACATCGTGCCACTGCACTCCAGCCTGGGCAACAGAGCAAGATTCTGTCTCAAAAAAAAAGGAGGGGGGTGAAGAAAAATTAGTCAGGTATGGTGGCATACACTACTCAGGAGGCTAAGGTAGAAGGATTGCCTGAGCCTGGGAGGTTGAGGCTGCAGTGAGCTGTAATCACACCACTGCACTCCGGTCTGTGCCACAGCGTAAGACTGTCTCAAAAAAAAAGGAAAAGAAAATATGGATGCTCCAAAGATAAAGAAAAACTTCAATCTAACTATATTACTGCAATAACAAGAGACTTCAGGGTGTGCATTGCCATTCTACCACTGGAAGTTTATTTCATCTTCCTTCAAACTTGGAAAGGTCACCATCTCCCAAAGCAGACAATTCTTACAGGAAAAAGAGAAAAAGCGCATTTCCACCAGCATGTGGCTTCATAAGGGCAAGCATGTGCACCTGGCACATAGGAGGTACGTGCTCTCTGTTAAATGATGTGTTCACAGTGACCAGGCCTGCTAGGCCCTTCCAAGGAACATGCTTGGTAAAGCCATAGAGCAGTCAGGATAAGATATGTATCACATCCTTATCTCTAGGAACTTACCCTTTTCTGAAGCTATAGCCAACAGTAAAAGTATAAGAGAGGTAACATAATATAACAATATTTAACATGCTCCACTCAAGTAAACAACAAACACACGCATGTCCCTCAGGTGACAACAGCTACGCCAACTCTGTGTCTGGCATCTTTTACCTGACATGATCGTCACAAGGCCTCTGATCTCGGTCAACTTCTACCAGGTGAAGTTCGGAATGAGGCATTATATCAAAGTGCTCTTTCCAACTTTGGAGGCCCCGTCACCACTGCCACTATTGATGGGGGCTCTAGTGGAGTTCAATCAACCACTGGAATATGATGTGTTTTGTCTTCAAATCCTGAGTCCTATTCATTTAAAAAAAAAAAAAAAAAGTAAACTCACTTTCAAAATAGAGTAAAAGGTATCAACCTTGTAAGTAGACTTTTTTTTAGTATACTTATAGATATGAGTACTTTAGTGTATTTTGTAGAGAGTACAACAGACGATATATAAATATAATTAACTTGTCAGTTATTAACTTGTTAATTTCTGGCCCCTATCCAAACAATTACTGTTTAATAAAGATGTAACAAGATGACTTCAATGGTATAGAGAGTTGAAAATTAAACACTTCTTAAATCTGACTGTTTTATGAGTGATTTTAATAATTTTTAAAAAATCAAAAAGTAAATACCAAAGCAGTGCATCATAACAGATAAGAGCAGAGGCTCTGGAGTTAAATTTGGCTCTCCTACATACTGGTTATATGATTGGAGGTAACGTATTTTCTTGACCCCAGTTTTCTTATCCATAAAATGAGGACAAGAATGATTCCTACTCCGGTGAGGCTGCTGGAAGGATTTAGTTGAATAACGTTTAAAGTACACTGCTAAGAATATCACAAGACTCACTAAATAAAGCTGTTAGTATTAAATATTGTAATTTTTGTATTTTATATTACAACTACATAAAACATATCCAAGGGGGAAAGCACACTTATCACCATAGAAACAGTTTAAAGTTTAGGAAGAAACAAATTCTGTAAATTCTTTTATCCTGGGCAAGAAACACCAACCAGTGTGCAGATGCTGGAGGCAAGGCAGCTTCTATGGGAAAGGCTTCTCACATTTTAGTAAAAGTCACATACCATGCATCTCCTTGTCCTTTGGAGCTGGACTAGACTTGTGAATACAAATGTCACCTGTGAAAGGCTCCTACTATTTAAAAAGAATGAATGGAAGAAGCACCAGACTGCAGCTAAACACACCTGTGAAAGGATTGAGCCATCTGCACAGCGGACTGAACTGCAACAGCTTTGGGATTTCTCTTCGCAGCATCTTCTTCATCCCCTACCTGGAGATCCTGCAGATGCCACTTCTTTTTCTTTTCAGCTTTGGACCCACTATTTTTCTTTCTGTGTTTCTTCTAGTCTCCATAGTTGCCATTTGCCAATAACAAGTAACTAACCTACAAAGAAGAAGGTTGGGATAAGGAGATGGGAGAAGCATTTACAATCCAGGCAATACCCAGAAAAAAAAACAATAAATCTCATTTATTTCTTTATGAAGAGATGATGTATTTGTTCACCGAACAAGGGTAGAAACTGATTAATCATCCCCAATTTCTTTTCTCTCTGTTATGCTATAAATTAGATGACTTACTTCTGCTAAATTTACATTTCATGGTTAAGTTACTTTTTATTCATCTTAAGTGTCAACATCAACAGCATGAATTTTTGCAAGGATGGAAATATTATATATCTGCACTTTTTGGTCATTTAGCCATTAGCCTCATGTGGTTACTTAAAATGTACTTAGGGAAACTGAAGAAAGTGAATTTTTAATTAATTTCATTCTAACTCTAAATAGTCACATGTGGCTACCATACTGGATGACTCAGACCTAGATAACAACTGGACTAATGAAGTGGTTTCCTAACTTAATTTACATTTTAATAAAAAATTATAAACATTTTTATAAACCTCCAATATGATTGAAGTATTACTTTTAGTACCTGTTGACTCTGTAAAACTCCTAAATTACAGCTCATCTACATACATTTGAAAAATAGCAATATCTGTATGTGTGAGATATGACTGTTTCTAGATGACGCCTGGAGACCCCATGGACTTACAGAGACCCTTTCAGTGATTTCTGAGGTACCTGGGAATCTGTGGCCAATGAATTGGTAATCACTGAATTAGTGAGCTTTTTAAGGAAATCAGGCTCCATAAAATCTGCATAAAATCAACCGTCCTGGCTGCTTTTATGGGCTGGCATTGAGTATCTGCAGCTTTTCCAGGTGCATGCTACAAGCTGTATGTGGATCTATCATTCTGGGGTCTGGAGGATGGTGGCCCTCTTCTCATAGCTCCACTAGGCAGTATGCCAGTGGGGACTCTGTGTGGGGGCTTCCACCCCAAATTTCCCTTCCACACTGCCCTAGCAGAGATTCTCCATGAGGGCCGCACCCCTGCAGCAAACTTCTGCCTAGACAACCAGCTCTTTCCATACATCCTCTGAAATCTAGGCAGAGGTTCCCAAACCTCAATTCTTGGCTTCTGTGCACCCGCAGGCTCAACACCACATGGAAGCTGCCAAGACTTTGGGCTTGCACCCTCTGAAGCCATGGCCTGAGCTATACCTTGGCCCTCTTTAGCCACAACTGGAGCAGCTGGGATACAGGGCATTGAGCCCATAAGCTGCACATAGCAGTGGGGGCCTGAACCTGGCACAGGAAAGCATTTTCCCTCCTAGGCCTCCATGCTTGTGATGGGAGGGTCTGCTATGAAAGTCTCTGATGTACTCTGGAAACATTTTCCCTATTGTCTTGGTGATTGACATTCAGCACCTCATTGCTTGTGCAAGTTTCTCCAGCAGGCCTGAATTTCTCCCCAGAAAATGTTTTTTTTTTTTTCAATTGCATCATCAGGCTGCACATTTGCCAAACTTTTATGCTCTGCTTTCTCTTGAATGCTTTGCTGTTTAGAAATTTCTTCTACCAGATACTCTAAATTATCTCTTTCAAGTTCAAAGTTTCACAGATCTCTAGGGCAGGGGCAAACTGCCATTGGTCCCTTTGCTAAAGCATAACAAGAGTCACTTTTGCTTCAGTTTCCAAGAATTTCCTCATCTCCATCTGAGACCACCTCAGCCTGGACTTTATTGTCCATATCACTATCAGCCTTTTGGTCAAAGCCATGTAACAAGTCTCCAGGAAGTTTCAAACTTTCCCACATTGTCTTGTCTTCTGAAGGTCAACTTCTGTGGGATTTCAGGAGCCAGAGGAGATACACTGGACTATCTGAATTCTTGAGTTTTTCAATCTGTTTATACGATTAGACTACTCAACCTCTGGTAGAGATATCTCTCTGTCTTGCCTTCCTTACTGAGGCCACCTGCAAGACAGAGAAGGAAAGGGACCAGTGCAGCTACAGTGGAGGAGCCTTTGCTTAGGCTGATTGAGAACGTCACTGCCAGAGTGAGCATGCGCTGGATGGCAGAGGCTGGCTGCTTCTTGTAGTGTGCCTCACCTCTGTACAACATGTCTACTGATGAGAAAAGACACATCCAGCCAAACACAGAGAAGCTGGGAAGGCTCATCTCTGCTTTCTCCTCACATTTGTCTTAGTTTGACTCTTCATTTTGAAGCCAATAGAAGTTCAGTCAACCTTGGCCAAGAGGGAGTTTTATTTTCACAGGTGGTAGCTCATTCATAATAACCTTGAAACACGAGTAAAAACAAAAACAAGGGTCAAAACAGGTCTGGTCCTTATGGACACTGAAGGTGGAGAGTGGTTCTAGATTCAAAGCAGCTCTAGGAACTAGTATGTAGTATCTGAGTTGGACCATCCTTCTGCTGCTCTCCCATTCATTTAGCCCCATTCTTCATGGCTACAACTATATGTCCTTTAACCAAATGACAATCTTTGTAGCCTCAATTTCTATCCTCCCATTACTTAGAATCCATAGTGGTTGTGACTATTTCTGGTGGTACATCTCAGTGTCTCATTTAATTAAGAAATAATAAAAATCATATGAAATGCCAAAAATTTCACTCTGCATTTTACCTCAAGTCAGTAGCAACATTCAAATTGGAATTTTAAAATCCTCAGGAAAGTAAGCTGTGTAATTTCTTTGAAAGATCTTAGCGGAAAACATCGTGCCCTGATGTCACCTAGAGCAGAAGCTGAGGCTCCTTCAAGGTGCTCTGTGGGCCCTGTGGCTTGGGGGTGAGGGCTTTGGTGGCCTGAGCAGCACATTCAGAGAATGCTTATCCAAAGTAGGTTAGCAGAGTTGCATTCCAGACTATAGACCCTAGCTTAGTATTGAGGTGCTAGAGCCCAAGGCAGTTGCTGAGACCAGCTCGGTTGGGTAAACCCTAACCCAGTGGTGCTAGAGGAATTAAAGACACACACAGAGAAATATAGTGGTGTGAAGTGGGAAATCAGGGGTCTCACAGCCTTCAGAGCTGAGAGCCCCGAACAGAGATTTACCCACATATTTATTAACAGCCAACCAGTCATTAGTATTGTTTCTATAGATATTAAATTAAAGTATCCCTTATGGGAAATGAAGGGATGGGCGGCATTAAAGAAATAGGTTGGGCTAGTTAACTGCAGCAGGAACATACCCTTAAGGCATAAATCGCTCATGCTGTTGTTTGTGGCTTAAGAATGCCTTTAAGTGGTTTTCCACCCTGGGTGGGCCAGGTGTTCCTTGCCCTCATTCCCATAAACCCACAACCTTCCAGCTTGGGCATTAGGGCCATTATGAACATGTCACAGTGCTGCAGAGATTTTGTTTATGGCCAGTTTGGGGCCAGTTAATGGCCAGATTTTGGGGGCTTGCTCCCAATAGCCATCATGAAAGGAACACTCTATTAAGGGGACTAAAGAGGGAAGAAGGTTCATTGAACTTTGATGTATAAGAGGGGTGGTGCCAGCTCCCTGGAATGTCCTTCCTAACTGGGCTAATCCTGTGAACTCCCCATCCCTGATATGCCAGCATGCAGCCTCAGAACACCACACAGTTAATCCTAGATTTACAGTTCATACCATGTCAGGGAGCTACCCACCTCCCTTGAACCCCTACCATGTCTCAGATGATCTCAGATTGCTTCTGTAACGTGGTTGTGCTAAAATAGATAATCTCTAAAATCTGTGTTATTCGTAGGTCAGTAAGTCATCCATAATATTATCTAAACTAGGCACAGTGGCTTGCACCTGTCATCCCAGCTACTCGGGAGGCTGAGGCAGGAGAATGGCGTAAACCCGGGAGGCAGAACTTGCAGTGAGGCAAGATCGCACCACTGCACTCCAGCCTGGGCAATAGAGCGAGACTCCGTCTCAAAAAAAAAAAAAAAAAAAAAAAAAAAATTATCTGAGGGATGGGTAAAAGTAAAATAAATTAAGTTTAACTGTCATTTAAGTTTGAGAGAATGTCAACAATAGATTTGTTCCTAATAAAAATATTTTGACCAGCCATGGTGATGTGTGCCTGTAGTCGCAGCTACACAGGGGGCTGAGGGAGGAGGACTGCTTGAACCCAGGAGGTTGAGGCTGCATTGAGCCATGATTGTGCCACTGAACTCCAGCCTGGGCACTGTTGGAAAAAAAAAAAAAAATTGCCATAGCGTTTGGAAATAGCAGGAGCTTTGGATGTGAGCAGGCTTGGCCAAATCCAAGCTCTGTATTTCCTGGCTGTGTAACTTAACTTTTTTGATACTCTCTAAGCCTCAGTTTCTACTTCTGTGGAAGAAGGGGTAGGTGCAACCTGACATTCATGATTATGGTGGAGAGTGATAGAAATACTGAATTTAAGTCACCAGCTTTGTACTAAACATTAGTAAACTCTTCAAGAAGTCATGTTGATAAGGATTTGGACCAAAGAATTATTGTACAATTTAAAAAGTATTGTTCAAGAGAATATTAATAAAATTGCTGTTATGTTTTATTTACAAACTGTATGTAAACACAATAAAATGTTTTATAACTATGCAGATGTTGATAACCCTGTCTACTGAATACACTATACTTAGCAATATGACAATGATCATAATATTACAGTAGACTTTGAGGATCACGTAGATAACGTTGATATCACTTTTCAAATAGTTACATGCTTTAATACTCACAATATTAGCATTTAGGTCCTATCATTGTCTTCATTTTACAGAGGGTGAAGTTGACACAGGCTAACTTTCCAAAGATTACCCAGCTCTCAGGAGGTAGAACTAGTGTTGAACTCAGGTCTTTCTGATGTGTGCACCAACTTGCTGGTCCACTCTGCTATTCTCTCCAGTCTTCTCCTCAGGCAGTTAAATGACTTGATCTTGTGCTCCCCTAAAAACTCCATGTTCCCTATATCTCTTTCTTGTAGGTTAAGACCAGTGGGTGTTGCTGCTGTGGAAAGAGATGCCCATGCAAGTGAGAAATGGGACAACTGTCCAGGAATTCACCAAGGTTGGGTCCCCTGCTGTCCAGCACCAGGGGAAGGTCCTCTGGTCCTTCAGCATTTTCTTCTTCTTTGAGTGTTGCTTCAGAAGTGCTGTTATTCCAAAGTTGCTGGTCATCTTTCTTTTAGTCAGGCAAACAATTTCCTTTGCTGTCTGTTCCATACAAGCCTTGGTTTTTGTGTTTCTGGGAGCAACAGGCTTCCTCCTCACAGCTGTGATGTCTCTGGATCAGTGCCTGACCATTTGCAAGCCTCTGCATGACCCCACCATCATGAGCCTGAGGACTTGCTTCCTCCTGCTCACTGACTGCTTTGTCATGGATTTCACTCTCATCACTGGTCTTGTGGTGAAGGTTTCCCAGTTGTCTTTCTGTGGACCCCATGTCATCCCTCACTTCTTCTGTGACCTCGGCCCTCTGATCCAACTCTCCTGTTCTGACACCAGATCTATTGAGATGTTGGCCTTTGGCTTCATTTTGTTCATTCTTTTTACTCCCTCATTATAACCACCACTGCATATGGTAACATATTAGATATAATTGTATGGTTCCCATCAGCCAAGGAGTGGCAGAAAGCTTCTCCACCTGCTCCTCTCACTTCATTGTCCTCTCTCTAGTGTATGGCAGCTATGTCTTCATATATATGAAGCCAAAGCAAATGGACAGGTTAGACTCCAACAGAGTGGCTGCTCTTGTGAACATGGTGGTGACTCCGCTCCTGAACCTGCTCATCTCCACTGTGTGGAACAAGCACATCCACCAGGACCTAAGGGAGACTATGTGCAGAATGAAGATACCATGATCTTTTAAAAAGTGCATTGCATGGCCTTGGAACAGAAGGCTTTAGAGAACCATATATCCCCAGTCCAGTGGTGTGCGGTCAGCAGAGTTTCCAGTGGAGAGTCTCTAGTGGAGCTCACTTAACCTCTCTGCATGTCTCCAGCAAGGTGGAAACCTCTGTTTTCTCAAGGTCACATTTTGTTTGGTATGCATAACTATCTTCTCCCTCAGTATCCCATGTGTTGATAACAATCTATTTTAGTTATAAAATCACTTACTGAATTTTTATTCTTCCTCCTGATAAAACCCATGTGCTTGAATTTATCAAAATATATTCATTTACACTCTTTTCATTTCACTTCATCTCTAGCCATAAAAAGGATTCAGCAGAATTAATTACTATTTACCAAAATGCACTTAATAATTAAATGATGGAAGATTGTATATTGGGCCATATATACTATGGAAGGGGTGAGTGTATCGGGGAGGAAGATATCAAACCACATTTGTGTGATTTCTTCCAAAAAATCAAGAAGATAGGATCTAAGTTATTTGCTTACCTACTTCCTATTGTTAATGAAAATAACATAAACAAATTAAGCATTTTTTTCTGGTGGACTTATGTTATCAACTACTTGGTTATTTCCTGATTGATAACCTATTTTAAAGATTACATTTCTTTATTATTTAATCCTTAACCATTATGCGCCTTTAGCTCCTATTTCCAGGTTAGAAATGCATCTGTTTTAACTTCAGAGGAAATACTTCCAAAAAGATTGATATCATTTTGTTGTTGTTGTTGTTTTAATTTAAACTCTGAAGTTAGATGATCACAAATAAAAATTGTTTCCACATGCTGATATCTATTTCTACTTAATATTTTAATAGATATAAAGGAGATTTCCTAAGAATGGTATTTTTTATTTTAATTTTTTATTTCCATAGGTTTTGGGGGAACAGGTGGTGTTTTGTTACACAGATAGATTCTTAGTGGTGATTTCTCAGATTTTGATGCACCTGCCTCACCCATGCAGTGTCCATTGTACCCAGTGTGTAGTCTTTTATCCCTCAACCCCTCTCACACTTTCCCCCAAGTACCCAAAGCCCATTGTGTCATTCTTATGCCTTTGTGTCCTCATAGCTTAGCTCCCACCTATGGGTGAGAACATACAATGTTTGGTTTTTCATTCCTGAGTTACTTCACTTAGAATAATGGTCTCCAATCACACCCAGGTGGCTGGGAATGCCATTATTTCATTAGCTTTTTATGTCTGAGTAGTATCCCATGGTATATATGTAACACATCTTTTTATTCACTTGCTGATTGATGGGCATTTGGGCAGATTCTATATTTTTGCAGTTACGAATTGTGTTGCTATCAACGTGAATATGCAAGTGTGTTTTTCATACAATGACTTCTTTTGCTTTGGATAGATACCCAGTAGTGGGATTGCTGGATCAAATGCTAGATGTACTTGTAGTTCTTTAAGGAATCTCCACACTGTTTTCCACAGTGGTTGTACTAATTTATATTTCCCCAGCAGTATAAAAATGTTTCCTTTTCACCACATCCACACCAGCATCTATTTTTTTATTTTTTATTTTTTTGGTTAGTGCCACTCTTGCAGGAGTAAGGTGGTTTTGATTTGCATTTCCCTGATCATTGGTGATCTCAAGCATTTTTCATATATTTGTTGGCCATTTGCATATCTTCTTTTGAGAATTGTCTATGCATGTCCTTAGCCCACTTTTTGATGAGATTGTTTGTTTTCTTGTTGATTTGATTGAGTTGCTTGTAGATTCTGGATATTAGTCTTTTGTTGGATGCATAGTTTGTGAAGATTTTCTCCCACTCTGTGTGTTGTCTTTTTACTGATTATTTCTTTTGCTGTGCAGAAGCTTTTTAGTTTAAGTCCCATCTATTTATCTTTGTTTTTGTTGCATTTGCTTTTGGGTTCTTGCTCATGAAGTGTTTGCCTAAGCCAATGTCTCGAAGGGTTTTTCTGATGTTACTTTCCAGAATTTTTATGGTTTCAGATCTTAAATTTAAGTCTTTGATCCATCTTGAGTTGATATTTGTATAAGGTGAGAGATGAGGATTCAGTTTCATTCATCTACATGTGGCTTGCCAATTATCCCAGCACTGTTTGTTGAATAGGGTGTTCTTTCCCCACTTTATGTTTTTGTTTGTTTTGTAGACGATTAGTTGGCTGTAATTATTTGGCTTTATTTCTGTGTTCTCTATTCTGTTCCACTGGTCTATGTGCCTGTTTTTATACTAGTATCAAGCTGTTTGGGTGACTATGGCCTTATAGTATAGTTTGAAGTCAGGTAATGCAATGCCTCCAGATTTGTTCTTTTTGCTTAGTCTTGCTTTGGCTATATGGGCTGTTTTTTGGTTCCATATGAATTTCAGGATTGCTTTTTCTAGTTCTGTGAAGGATGATGGTGGTATTGTGATGGGAATTGCATTGAATTTGTAGATTGCTTTTGGCAGTGTGGTCATTTTGGCAATATTAATTCTACCCATCCATGAACATGGGATGTGTTTCCATCTGTTTGTGTCATCTATGATTTCTTTCAGCAGTGTTTTGTAGTTTTTCTTGTAGAGGTTTTTCACCTCCTTGGTTAGGTATATTCCTAAGTATTTTATTTTTTTCACAGCTACTGTAAAAGGAGTTTACTTCTTGATTTGCTTATCCGCCTGGTTGCTGTTGGTGTATAGCAATGCTACTGATCTGTGTACATTAATTTTATATTCTGAAACTTTACCAATTTCATTTATCAGTTCTCAAAGCTTTTTGGATAAGTCTTTAGGGTTTTCTAGATATACGATCATATCATCTGCAAACAGCAACAGTTTAACTTCCTCTTTACCAATTTGAATGTCCTTTATTTCCTTCTCTTTTCTGATTGGTCTGGCTAGGACTTCCAGTACAATGTTGAATAGAAATGGTGAGAGTGGGCATCCTTGTCTCGTTCCAGTTCTCAGGGGGAATGCTTTCAACTTTTCTCCATTCAGTATAATGTTGGTTGTGGGTTTGTCATAGATGGCTTTTATTACCAAAAGGTATGCCCCTTCTATTTCTATTTTGCTGAAGGTTTTAATTATGAAAGGATGCTGGGTTTTGTCAATTATTTTTTTCTGCATCTATTGAGATGATCATGCAATTTTTGTTTCTAATCCTGTTTATGTGGTGTATCACATTTATTGACTTGCATATGTTAAGTCATTCCTGCATCCCTGGTATGAAACCCACTGGACCATGGTGGATTATTTTTTTGATATGCTATTGGATTTTATTAGCTAGTATTTTGTTGATGATTTTTCCTCTATGTTCATCAAGGATATTGTCTGTAGTTTTCTTTTCTTGTTATGTCCCTTCTTGATTTTGGTATTGGGTGATACTGGCTTCATAGAATGATTTAAGGAGAATTTCCTCTTTCTCTATCTTTTAGAATAGTGTCAATAGGATTGGTACCAATTCTTCTTTGAATATGTGATAGAACTCAGCTGCGAATCTCTCTGCTTCTGGGTTTTCTTTTTGTTGGCAATTTTTAAATTACCATTTAAATCTCGCTATTTGTTATTGGTCTGTTCAGAGTTTCTATTTCTTCCTGGTTTACTTTAGGGGTGTTTTATATTTCCGGGAATTTATCCATCTCCTCTAGGATTTTTAGTTGGTGCACACAAAGGTGTTCATAGTAGCCTTGAGTGATCTTTTGTATTTCTGTGGTATCGATTGTAATATGTCATGTAGTTTTTAATTGAGGTTATGTGGATATTCTCTCTTTTCTTGGTGAATCTTGCTAATGATCTATCAATTTTGTTTAATTTTTTCAATCAGCTTTTTGTTTCATTTTTCTTTTGTAAATTTTTTGTTTCAATTTCATTTAGTTCTGCTCTAATCTTTGTTATTTCTTTCCTTCTGCTGGGTTTGGGTTTCATTTGTTCTCCTTTCTCTTGTTCCTTGAGGTGTGACCTTAGATTGTCTATTTGTGCTCTGTCAGACTTTTTGACCTAGGCATTCAATGCCATGAGCTTTCCTCTTAGCACTACTTTTGCTGTACCCCAGAAGTTTTGGTACTTTGTGTCACTATTACCATTCAGTTCAAAGAATTTTTTAATTTCCATCTTGATTTCATTGTTGACCCAATGATCATTCAGGAGCAGGTTACTTAATTTCCATGTATTTGCATGGTTTTGAGGGTTTCCTTTGAAGTTGATTTCCAATTTTATTCCACTGCAGTCTGAGAGAGTACTTGATATAATTTCAACTTTCTTAAGTTTATTGAGACTTGTTTTATGACCTATCATATGGTCTGTCTTGGAGAATGTTCCTTGTGCTGATGAATAGAATGTATAGTCTGCAGCTGTTGAGTAGAATATTCTATAAATATCTGTTAAGTTCATTTGTTCTAGATTATAGTTTAAGTCCATTGTTTCTTTGTTTACTTCTGTGTTGATGACCTGTCTAGTGCTGTCAGTGGAGTATTGAAGTCCCCCACTATTATTGTATTGCTAATTTCTTAGGTCTAATAGTAACTGTTTTATACATTTGGGAGCTCTGGTGTTAGGTGCACATATATTTTCCTACTGGACT